CTCTCTCTCTCTCTCTCTCCCCCTCTCCCCTCGAACCCTGGAGGTTGTAAACAGGAGTGATAGGGAGCTCGTGAAAAACTAGATTATGTCCAGTTGTTGTTGCCTCTGGGTGGAATTACTGTGGACCTTGTTATAGTTTGGTTATAGAGGGTATTTTGAACTGCCAGGCTTGGCATTCAATTACACAGCTGTGTAATCTATGGCGCTCTCTGCCTTTCTCTCCCACTCGGTCATAAATAAAGCGCGGACGTCAACGACACTGAGCATTTTTAAAACTTTGTCTGGCTTCTCAGTGAGCAGATATGTGCACACGCAACAAACCATCTGGGCAGAGAACATGCTTCGCGTGTACGTCCCGACACTGACGACTCATTCTGACATTAATGACACAGCGTGAACTCTTTGAAGAACTTCCTTAAACCCCCTCATCTGTGAATATCTCGATAGTCGGCTGCAGATTGGCAGCGAGAGACGAGCCGGGTTTATCCTGAAGAGACAACGGATCAATAGTTTCAGCTTCAGGCCCGAGTGTAAATGTTTTTTTTAGGGATAAACTGATTCTGAAAATGTGCCTGTGTTTTTTTTATTCCCCTCAGAATTGAGAGAAAAGTTTTATTCATTGAAGGAAGCGCTCGTGAGGAGTGTTTGTGCCTTTCCATCGAGACAAAGCTGCACAGTTGAGAAGCCGAGCCTGTCGATATCGATCCTCCTACACAAAAACAGAAATACAAACACACGCTGGCCGGCTTCCAGAGTTTTTACTTACCAATATTTTAACTGCAGAGGATTCTTCACCTCGGAGGGAACCGTGGAAGATGCAGAAATATGGTTCACAACTTCAGGCAAAACAAACAAACTGGTTTTGTTTCAACACGTTTCTACAAATTATTTCTCAGCGAAAAAGTTAGAAACCAGTAAAAACCGGCCGCTGCGACTGCCGGTCATTAACGTTCACAGTTACAAGGACCTGAGCCGCGCTGAACGTCCATCTGTTCCAGCTCGAGTCCGCGATCTGCAGACCCGTGGTTTCTGAACAACGTCCATCTGTTGCTACTCGCCATCCTCGCTCTGGATTACTTCCCAGCATGCACTCTGATGAGACGGGTTTCTGGCCACTCGTGTCTGTGTTTTTTTAGAAATGTGCAGGTGACACCTCTGCAGTGAACATATCAAATAAAAATACTGTCTGTTCTCTCTCCTCCCACCGGCTACATGTTGACCCCGCTGCAGACGCGCTCTTTACTCACAACCCCTTCCGATGCATGTGAATCCGAGCCCTCCCTTCTTCTCCGTTGTCGTGTTTTCCCTGCTTCTCCCAGACATCACACTCCTCTCCCTGTCGCTTCAGGCTCCGGCTGTCAGATGAGAACCCTGGACAGCGGCATCGGCACCTTCCCTCTCCCCGACTCCGTCACCCGGGCCAGCGGTCGCCACATCCCTAAATCTGAATCCGGCCCCGATGGGGTGACCGCCAGCTCGTCCAAGCTCGATCGGGAGCCTCCCTCTTCTCACCCAGACCCCTCTCACCCCGACGTGAAAGTGCCTTCCCTCCCAAAAACCCGCCTGCATGCCCCCACTAGCATGGGTCACTCCCTGTCCGACCCCACCGTGACCCGCAGCAGCGACGCCCAGGACGCCGAGAGCCGCCTGCCCAAACTAGCAGCCTCAGGTGAGTCAGGATCAAGCGTTAACAATCTGAATTACTCTCTCTGTGTGAATGTACAGTCGGCGGGGGAGACGACTATGGAGAAAGATTTTCTTGTTCCTCGTATTTGAGCAGCGTTGGTTGCCCGCAGGTAAACAGTGTGAGGGAAAGAGGAGGCGCTCATCGACTATCTGCTGGTGAATTTATCTGCGTGACCCAGAGATCGGCTGTCTTCATCAGGAGCCCCACAATGTTAGACGTTGCTACCAGAGGCTTCAGTCATGGCGTGGTGAAAGCAGAGGGCCGGACAGACATCCAGTTCTGGGTTATTTGAGTTACTGGTGGTCTCAGAATTATGGAGGCACCATGATACAGTGGTTTTATTAAAGACGTCAGGTAACGATTGACCTTTTTGTTAGTTTCTCATCACTGCCGGGGATTTAGAAAATAACTTGTTTCTTTATGTAAAACGGAGCTGGAAAGAACTGGAAATCCAGATGTTCCTCAGTCACTGTCCTGTCCGCTCTGTGCAGCTGTTTATTTTACGTCTCTGTTTTTGATTTGGATTCCTGAGTCGAGGCTGAGGAGGAAAAATAACCTGAAGTGTTTGTCTGAAAGTGCGACTGTTGTCGTCTTATGAGCTCAGAGCCTTGAAATCCTCACGCAGCTCGTTTAGAAGTATTGAAATGTCAACACGGCTCCACTCCGGCAAGTTCGGTTTGTTATCCTCCTGATTTGAAAAACCTTGTTTGTTCTGAAGCGAATGTGTCGACACTGACGTCCGACGCTCGGCCGAGATGACGAAGCAATCCTCGTGTCCTTACAGAAACCAGCGCCCCCCCCGTCGGCCCCCGAGGAGACTAACAAACGCAATTAGACGAGCGTGTCAGCACAGCCAAAGATCATAAAGCGCCGTCTGCCCCGGTGTTGATGCACAGCAGAGCGGTGGTGGGCGAGACGCAGTCAGATGGCTGATTACAGCTACAGTAACACACGGGGATGAGGGATCACTCCCGGGGATTTATGCTTGCAGGACATTAGCCTGCGCCCGTTTCACCTCGAGGCTCTGCAGAGGCAGCACTTTGAGTCACAGCTGCTCCTGTCGAGGCTCCACCGTGGAACAAGTAGATGAGCAGAGCCGGATTCCATCCACTGCATTCGAATCCTGTTTGTTATCGCGTCCTTTCTATCGTGCATCATAATGTAGAAGCACAAAGATAAAAGCTGCCAGCAGAAGGTGAAAGGTCTTTTATTATCTCCACGCAGACTTTTTCAGATCTGTTATTGTAACTGAATTCTGAGACACAATTAAAGCGGCGTCTGTCTGAGACGACGGCCGGCGGAGTGATGTCGCCTCGTCACTCGGGAGAGACGGCAGAGAGCCGTAATATCCAGGCTGACGAAGTCACGGCTCTGAACAATGACGGCGTGGACGCCATTAATGTTTGATAGCTGGGATATTGTGCAGCTCAGCTCAGACATGCAGAGGGATGGTTGTGAAGGAGCGTTTCAGCTGAATGCATGTGCTCATCCTGCGTTTCATCAGCGCGTCTGTCGAAGAATTCAAATTATGTTTTCCTCCGTATGCCTGACAGGAGGAGGCCATGTGGTGAATACAGTCTGTGTGTGTGTGGTTCACTGTACACGTCCATGACTCATTTCTCTTTTGTCTCTTTCTGCCTGAAAGGCGCCGTCAGGACGAAGAGGTCGAGTCTTTGTGTTCCGCGGAGCAACAACCCGGCGGACGACAAAGAGAAGGACGCAGAGAGGAAGACGAGAAACAAGGACTGTGAGATTCCTGGTGTAAGTTGAATGTGGACTGGAGCCAGCAGTTAGCTTAGCTTAGCATCTTTAACATCTTTGTTTTAATGATCAAGTGAGTTCAAATCCACTGAAGCGGGAAAAAAAACTCCTGTCCTCAAACTGTCTCATCGATATATGAAAAGTAAAGTTTTATTCATGAGGTTAAACGTCTTGACCCAAGCTAACGTTGTTCTCTCTAAGATTTATGTATTTTTATTATTTCTATCTTCTCTCATTCTGAACAAGTGTGAGTTTTTAAACACCCGGTGTCTTTGTGCACAGGAGCGAGCCCTGCGAGTGTGCACGTACTCGGGCAGCAGCAGCAGCAGCGACACCGAGACCGAGCTGGAGGCCGGCGGCAGCACTCTGGGCTCGCCGCAGCGGACCCTGATCCCCAGAACCAAGAGGAGCGACCCAGGTTTGAAACGTTTTTAAATGAAAGTTCCCCGTCGTCACCGGATTCAGGTCGTTTTTTATTTCACTCTTCTTATTTTCCTTCGTGCAGTCGAGCAGAACGAGGAGACGCTGAAGAGGAGCAGCGTGGAGAAACCCCTGTCGATCATGGACTTCTACCAACACGACATGTTCTCACACCTGGAGCGGGACAGCAGGAGGATCTCTCAGTACAACCTGTTGCACAAAGAGTCGTCGCTCGACGGGAAAGCAGGAGACAGACTCAGTGTGAGTGTCAACACACATCTGAAGTGTTTTATTCCTCATTACAGCCTCGGACGAGATTCCGGAAGATGATTTACTCTATTTGTTTTCAGACGTTTACTCTGATTTCTGACATTTTCCTGAAGTTTGTTGCACTCTGAACTTTTATGCAGCATTTTGAAGTTTTTTTTTAAAGTCGGTTCTCTTTGATTGCTTCGCCTCATTCTACCATCTGAGGGAGATAATGCAGCGCGGCCTGAACCAGTTTTCTCATTTCACTGAGCCCGATGGAGGCAAAATAAAAATCCTGGATGTTTGCAGCCTCACGCACAAAAAAGTAGAATGTCGGAGCTGGAAAGCGTCTGGAACGTTCACAGTGAGCGATGACGCTTCTAACACGTGACGGACGTGAAACTGGAAGAACCCAAATATATCTCAGGACGAAGAAGAGGAGCAGCACACGTAGGAGACGAAGACGTCAGATCCCGGACAATCTGCTGCTGCTGCCTCGCAGGACGAACTCTCAGTCGTTCCGATGAATAAATGGAGCCGCGATGTCAACTTTACCTCTGAAACTCTCAACTCGGAGGTTTCTTCCTCCGTTAGAATTGTTCGCAGGTTTTCGTAGGAGTAAAAAAAAAA